AGTGGTTTTTGAATCTATTGGCAACAAACATACACACATATAGAAGAATTGTTTTATAAATAATAAGTTTTGATATATGTATATTTTAATTGTTTTAAGATATAGATTATAGTTGGTTTTTCATGGCCATAAGCGTGACAATTTGATGCATGCTGTTTTACGTCATCTATCCGAGAAACTAACGACAATCATTTATATTATATATATATATATATACAAAAAAATACTTATTTATATAGTATCAGCTGATCCCCATGCACTTCGTTGCCTGTTAAAAATACGGACTTTATAAATTATTCAAATTTTTTGTTTAATTCGTTGTTTATACCGGGCTAATCTAATCTAATTCTCGCGTCAGACTCTGCAGGGAAWCCGTAACGCAATTTATATAATTGAGCTGGTCTGTGTTTTTCATATAACTTCTCATAATATTAAAACTATTAATGAAAATATTATATTAATTTATAGCTTAAAATTTCGGTAAGTATTTCTATACCCATAACTTCAGTGGTTCCAGCTAGGTGATTTTTTTTATTTTCACCCCTTTTAACCACTGTAACACTCAAAAATAATGTGGATTTTTATTGATAAAGAATTTAAAAAATTGGTTTAGTAGATCCCGCTACAACCTCACAAACTTTACATCTTTATAGTATAGGTTTAGTATATTTTTTGGTGGAAAGATAGTGTTACTAATAAAAATAAATCCCTCCTTTACTTCCCCTCAGACAAAAAAATGAAAAATTAAGTGACGTGGTGACTTTCAGGAAGGGTATTTGGAACAATTCTGTGAAAAAATTGGAAAAAAGTTGAATAGGTAGCGTCGTCAAAAAATGGAAACATAAAAAAGGCCTGTTCTTTTATATATGTTACCGGAAATTTTTACATTTAGGAAATGATGACGGTTCCTAGGAAATGATGATAATTCCTAATAGCGGAAGGAAATGATATCATTGCCTAGTTCATAATATGAATTCAATTTATGAACTTCATATTATCCTTTCCTAACGATATTAGGCAAAGATGCCATATATATGTTTCTTAGATATTTTAATTTAATCTGTCACAATTATTAATTACCCTGTTATTACACTAATAAATAATCAATGATCAATAAATAATAAAAAATTATATATATATATGTTTTTTAATCACTTTATGATAGGTACACACTACTAATTACTTACAATAATTTACAATATTATGATGTGTTACCAATGTCAGCTATTTATGAATAAAACATTTTTTACGATATTCATCATGAATATTGTTTGTGGACTTCTTTAAAATGCAGTTTTGGGAAAATATTTTCTTATTATTTCTYATCTAGATTATTAGTAGAAACACTAAATATTCCAAATTTCAAGTTCTTACGTTTTGTAGTTTTTGAGATATATAACGRTGAATGAGTGGTATTTATTTAATATATATGAAATTTGTGTATCAAAATTAATGTTTACTTCTTTGTTTCTTTAATTTTTTCTAGTCCTATAGGCTCAAAAACTACTGGGCCGTTTTCAATAAAAGTTTTATTAATAGATTCTTTGAAACTTGGGATGGATTTGTAGCTTCATGTTTCAACCCATTTGCTAAAGGGTTTCACACAAGAATTTTGTTTCAGCTCAC